GTTTTCCAAGTGCAAAGAACAGAAATTGGATGTACAGAAAAAAAAGAAATATTCTGTGTATAAATACACATGTCAAAGAAGAAACAAGTGTTAGTGTATGTCAGCAGTAAGAAGATATCTTCAAATCACATGTTGTTAGCCAATGTAATGAGGCTAAACAACATTAGGAGAAATAACATGTTTAAGCAATAATAAACGCAGTGTATGCTGTGGGAAATATCTCTGAGTTTATGTAAAACTGTTTTTAATCTGGAGTCTTTGGAAAGGCACCCTGAAGGTTTGTAAATTGGTGGGTACAGAATACACTAGAAATACAATTTGTATTTAACAGCAAATAGGGAATCACCAGGTAAAAAAAAAGCAAAGTGCTTTTAGAATGTATGCCCATTATGAGATTTATTTTGTTGAATTGTAAAACTGTGGTCATTTACGTATATGTGTTTTATTTTTTTGCTTTCTGTTTGTTGTAGCTAGATCGGAAAGTGCTACACTGCAATGTACAGGCTCTGAAGCTGGGCCTTCCTATGAATCCCTTCAAAGTGTGTTTGATAAGAAGTCATTTCGTCCAACCCTGAATTACAGCCGACCGACAAGTGTGAATATTTCATTTACAATATACGCAGTGCTTGGAGTGGTAAGAGCTTCCTATGTTTGTTAGAAAATAAGGCAAAATGGTAGAAATGATTTGCATTCTTGTCTGCTCCAAAGAACCTATTTAGTATATCTATGTGCTTATTACCTTATTTGCTCACACCAAATATTATATTTCTTTAGAATGAAAAAACTCAGATTCTCACCACTTTCCTTTGGCTTCGTTTAGTAAGTAACACTATTTCTCTGTTCAGTCGAACATATAGACCTGAGATGCTGTAACTTTCTTTATGTTCCCAAATAACTTCTGCTCAAATTCACCAGCAGTTCAATTTTGTATTGCAGAAGATGTCTACTAACAGTAGAAACCGTGAGCATTTTAAAATATATAATTAAAAGTATAAGATGGAAAGATGAATAAGCAGCAATAAATGCCTTCAGTGAAACCCACACATCAAAATGACTTGCAGAATTTTAGATATAAGTAGCTTGAGCCCCTTGCAAACATTAGGCAGAGTCCTGCCCCCTTTAATCTCCTCAGTCTTCACATAAATTATTTCAATAACTAATATAAAATGTATATATACATTTAGCTGCCTGTGTTTGTTAATTTGCCTACTGTTTTAGGAAATGCTTAGGTATTAACTTAAAAGCCACACCACCATCAACCATCTGTCATAAACCAGCCAAGAGTTTATAGTTCTTGATCAAATTTTCACTTATTTTTATAAACATTTTGTAACATCACAAGTCAGGGTATAGTTAGTTCAGAATATGTGTAACATTTAATAGTACAGTGTCAAAGGAAGGACAAATGTTTAATATGTATTACCCTCACAGTGGGGGTTGTTTAGATTCTGTGAGTTCCTAATTGGTCGCAACTGATGCATCTGTATTTCAAATTAGCACAGGCTAGGTGTAAAGTCTCCATATAAAATGTTAGACAAATGTGTGTATTTCAGTCTTTAAATTTCTGAAAAGTTTAATAACTTTTAAATCTCAACCTGTGCAGTGCACAATTATAAAAACGTCTTTAAAAACCTTACAGTGCAGAGAGACAATGTCTGACAATAGATTCTAAATGTGTTGGCTTTATTGTAAATGATAGAAGACTGCTAGGCATAAAGAATTAGAATTTGGTGTCTATGCATAGCAAAGCAACAAGCAACAGCTGAAACCATAGCTGTTACTTTCAGATGCATCATTGCTGACTTGAAACAAATATGCAGTCTCTGTTTTCCACTGTAGCTGGTGCTCGGGCGGAGCAGTACTGCAGCTGGAGAGGAGGTCAAGAGAAACCTGGCTTCTTTATGGTTTCCTTGGTCCCCTAGGCAGAGGTACAGTTGGCTACGCTGCATCCAGGTGACCCTTTGGCCTTTTTAAGTGCCTGCCCTCAGGTTTTGGCACGCTTTCTTGTGAGTGGATAGTGTAGGGAGAGTTCATCATTTGCAAAGGAGAGTGGATAGTGGTAGGGAAAGGTCTGCATTGGAATCCTCCCCATTGGGATCAGACTATACAGGCTGCACTTCGCCCTTGGAGACAGATGCAGTTGGTGCTTCAGAACCTCTCCAATCTACAAATTTGCATAGAACTTTGAGTGTTTCCAGCCCTGGCCTTTCCCACTGGGCTGTCTGTATCTTTTGACTGTTCCTTCAGTACATGTTTTGTTAGGTTCATCTGGGCTCATAATATTAATGGCACCACACTGCACCTACCCATGAATATAATATTTGAAGATTATAGTAATAAAAAAATCTATCTGTACTGACTGGATAAGATGCAACAGCCAGCCTATTCCATCCCATTGGTTAGGATGGTTGGGTGGCAACTTACTTTGAACTCTAAGGTGTAAACAAATGGAGATTTGCAAATCTCGCTCATAGGTTTAGCAAACCTGTAACTGCTAATGAGAGCAGTGTGTGTAGTATGGGAAATCCTGTGCGCCAACCTGCTTGAGTGCAGAGTGCACTAACTAAGTGTATCAAAAGCAAGATTTCTCACAAGGCTATTATATATATTGTGAGAGGTGGCAGCTCAGATTTTAGTGTGCATGGATTATTTTTAGCTGCTTCCTATTGCTTCTTATGTCTGGATCGGGGACTTTTAGGTCCTCTGATTAATTCCAGAAGATGAATGATGGACAATAATGCATTGTCTATCTTCCCTCATCCCTGTGCCTTCAGATCCCTGATCCATGACAACCCCCATTTAGTAGAATGTGCTTAGGTGGAAGGTAATAGAAACATTTCTAGGTAAAAGGTTCTATTGTAATGGAAACCGTGCTTTAAGAAACACAAAGGCTGTAATTTCTGACTTTTTATTTGCAACCATGTGCTGTAATTATCATGTTAATCTTTTGACTTTGATACTTTATGAGTCAGTGATCTAAAACATGCCACAGATCATGAGCTGTAACTCTGGTTTTACTGATAACTTATAAAGTATTGCACCCAGAGCATCAGAATGGAAGTCAGGCAGCTAGCACTTTCATAAGGTGGTCAGCAATCCTGTGAGAAACTGAGCTCTGGAGGCTGTGCCAAAAAAAAAGGCAGACAGAGGGCAAAAGACTAGTCACCACTATTGCCTGTGGTCTCCTTGCAGCTGATCCTCCACTACTGACTTACTATACCATGTTCTGTTATTTTCCGTATTTCTGTGTTGAGGCAGCCATCTTGGTAGAGGCAGAGTTTTGCTTCCCTATGTCAGAATCTCCAGCAATAGTGCACAATAGTGACATCACCTAATCCCACTCCACTCTCACTCTACTCTAGAAGTCACAGGCAGCAGTGCCTATGATTTTACACTGCAGATTTAAAGTCATGAAGCTGTAGAAATTCAAGACAAAAAGTAATTTAGGCTACTACTAAGGCATAATTAATATTTCTAAGTGTTTGCTATAACATAGATAATCTTCATTTTTTTTTAAGTTCAGGTCCACTTTGAGATTTGTGTGTATGGTGAAGGAAGCAATAATAACATAACCCTATTGTCTTCAACAGTTTTGGCAGCATGAGTTCCTGACTTGGAGACCAGAAAAATGTGGAGCTGTTGAAAAAATCTCTCTTCCAGTAGAATACATCTGGACACCTGACATAATAGTCTATGAATTGTATGTAGAACCTGCCTTCTAAATAAATGCTTTGAAGATGGATGGACTCTTGATTCAGCCCAAATGCATGCTTGTACCGAAATGTTCTTGTTTGCAGGTTTGACAAAAGAGTTGGACTAAATGGATGTTTGGCTGAGCAAAACTTCTGGCTGCATTGGGAAGTGATATATTTAGCAGTGATATTACTAAACTCTAGTAGATATGATAGCTTTCCACTCAGGGCTGGTGTTTAGGGAGGCACGGCCATCAGCTTCCTAACAACCAGTGAGTCATCCTCATCTGGTCCGGTCAGCTGTCAAAGGGGATTTCCAGCTGACAGGTGAATATAAACAAAGTGGCTGGGATAATGTACAAGAAAGTGGCTTGGGGTCCTCAAAAATCTTATACCTAACCTTTATCTGAGCATGCAGCTTGGAAGGCCAGAAAAGAAAAAGGGGGGGGGGCATGCTGCCTGCTCCCATCCTTAACCATACTAGGCCACATATGTAGCAAGGGTCTTCATGTTAATGAGGACGAGGGCCTTTTCTCTACAAGCCTGACTGGTGGTTGCAGGGACTTATTGGAGCCCCCTTTAAAAAAAAAAAGAGATACAACTCTCCAACCTTGTGGACGAGTAAGGGGTACATAGTGTCAAAAAAAGAAAACAGTAAATAAACACACAGGCACTTTTGTACAACTTTATTAAAAGGATACACAGCACCCACAAACTCCTGAAAGAAAAAACCTGCTGATTCAATCCTGTTTCTCACTCGCTGCAAATACTGTAACAGAAGAAGTGGAAGAAGAAGTAGAGTATCCTGGGTGACATAATTGACCAAATACAGGCATATTCCTATTTGGTCAGTAGTCACTTTAAGCATTATAAAGGTCACTGGTTCTGACCCCCCAAAGGAAATTTTTTTTTTTTTTGCAGCTTTAGTACATTTTCCCTGTGCCATTTGTTTGAAAATCCCTTGAATATTAGCCTAGATTAGAGAATGTCAATTACAAACTTCCAAACTTCAGCTGTCATTAAATGGAGTTTGGATTCTGCATCTGAACTGCAATATAGTTCACTGAACCCACCTCAGACTTAGCCAGGATACATATGGCTCATAACTAGCTTTGCACTTACAAATGTAATGTAAAGATTAATGCTTATTAAACTGGCAATATAAATACTTTAAGTATTAGATGTTACTGTAAGTAGTTAGAAAAAATTAATATACATTTGGCTTTCTTTTTCAGTATTGATGAGGATAAATCACAGCGCACACCATTTGTTTATGTAAATCACACAGGACGTATCCGATATGACAAGATGCTTCGAGTAGTCAGCTCATGCAATCTTGGGATCTTCAATTTCCCATTTGATGTTCAGAACTGTTCATTAACCTTTGGCTCTTACATGCACACAGGTAATTACAATAGCGAGGAAAAGCATACCTACTGAAAATCTCCTTAGAAGAGTTAAATGCACAACGTTGACTTGAATCACCAATAATGCTGGTAGATAATCCTCTCATATCTTATAAGACAAGTAGACAATTCCAAGAACACTTCTAATATAAAAAAATACAGTAACCCAGGTGAGTATAATGAGGTCTGGCAAACCCCAAACTGAGTTCGGGAGCTGGAATTCATACAAAACATTGTGCCAACTTCATTGCTCCAAAATGTGTAAATCAACATCAAAATGATCATATTTAGATCTTGTGTGTGGGGACAGTCAGAATCAGAATCCATTCAACCAAGTCCTCTATTAGATTGTAAAATACCCCGGTATGTGACTCCATAGTACACACCCGCAGTCTGGTTTGTGAACTGCAGAGAGCTAAGGTTCATACAATATCCTTAATTAGTGCCTTTATAACATTTATAGCAAGCATTTATGCAAATGTATAAAAGAATAACAATCGGTTTGATGCCAAATATACTATGCTATAATATGATTATTATTATTATACAGGATTTATATAGTGCTAACAGTTTGCGCAGCGCTTTACAATATAAAGGGAGACAGTAAAATTTCAATACATTTCAGTACAAAAGGAATTGGAAGGGCCCTGCTCATGGAGCTTACAATCTAAAGGTATAATATACATCAGGAAAATGTCACAATAAATATTTTGGGTGATATACACATCCAATTTATATCAGGTTTAGACCCTATCAAATCTTAATTTCATTCTCTTCAAAAATATGTTGGTTGTTGAGTTGTAAAACAGTGTTTCCTGGAAATATAATATAATTTGTATAATTGACATCTACAGAAAAATACAACACTTCAGAACTCCTATATCATACTCCTACATTTTTTGACTGGATGGTGGACCCTCTAGAGCACAGATGTCAAACTGGCAGCCCTTCAGCTGTTGCAAAACTACAAATCCCATGAGGCATTGCAAGAGTGACAGTTACAAGCATGATTTCCAAAGGTAGAGGCATAATGGGACTTGTAGTTTCGCAACAGCTGGAGGGCCACCAGTTTGACGCTCCTGCTCTAGAGGGTTGCCAAACACCTGCTGCTCTTTGCAGCTGGCAGCTTTTGTTTCCATCGGATTCATGCCGGAGCTTAAGAGTCATTTCTGAGGGCCAGTGAATCTGTCAGAATTGGAATTACTTTGAAGTGAATGGGACTCAGCACAGGAACCAGAGACCAAAAACAAGCTTTGTTAAGTGCCTTTCATTTTTAATCCCATTTATTTTGTTATTTTTGCCTGTTTTGTAATACTATTTTTGTGTAAATATTTTCTTGCATTGTTTTTTGTTTTTCATTAAAATTATATTTTAAAATTGTTAAGTGAATCATTACAATCTCTAAATGCAGTAACCTGAAATGAAAGAACCCTTGCCTCTGTGAGACCTACCACATCGTAAACTCTTTACTTGAAAGTTCAGAACTGCTACAGCAGAGGCTATGAAAGGTGCCTTTTTATTACTTATCAATATTAATTTAACTTTCTTCAAATTACCACATCCAGTGTGAAAAAATACAGCCAAGAATTAAGCGTGATCAAAAGCCAATGTACTAATTCTTGACAATTGGACAAAAGGAAAGTAGGGAGTAGAACAGAATGCATATTTCATATTTCAGTGTAGGGTACTGAATGGCAACGATGGACACCATCCAAATTTTATCTTGTGTCATTATAAGTAAGCCACTATAACTTTCTGAATACACATCAGTTTGAATATTTGTTTTAAAGCAATAATCTATGCAAAGTGTCTTAATCACCTTATTTTTCCTATGCAAACGATTGAATTCCCCACCAAATTATATATGTATCTAAAGTAATGGATTATTTTTTGAGCCATCAATTTACTGAGTAGGTTGCTGGTATCTACAAAAGTTGTAGTTACGGTTTAGTGTTGCTAAGGTTTTCTTATCTCTCCAATAACACCCTGTAGATGTTGTCCCTGTGTTCTTACTAGCATGGCAACTGGATAATGTAAATATTTGCAAACAATTCAATTATTTTGATCAGCAATTATAACACACTGTTAATGCTTGCATTTATTGTGCTGTTATACAGGCAAACACTTCTACAAATCTGAGCCAGAACATTATTCAATCCAAAAGTCCCAAATTATCCCAGCTATGCCCGGCTCTGCCATGTTATAGGGAAGGAGCATGCCCTCCAAAAACAGAAACTTAGAGTTGCTGGAAAGCACGCCCATTTTTCTTTCTCATAAGCCATAGAACCCACCGTGAAACCCAATAAAAAAAAAAACAGTTGTGACAGAGCCAACATCCACAGTGCTATAAAAACGTATTTTCTTTCCCACTCAGTGAGAGATGTGCGGCTTGGACTGGCTCTTCCAGTAGAACAAATTCTGCAAAACTCTCTACAGTACCTTGAGACCAGTGGAGAGTGGGAGCTCCTCAGAATTGAAGGGACCCCTGATATCTTGCGATTTGGCATTGATGAATGGGATATAATCACATTCCGGGTGAGACAGACCTTGATAACTGAGCTAATTATTTTTTGCTTTTAAAATGTGTTCTTTATAATAACACATTTTAATATATAACTTTCAAGCTCTTAATGTCAAAGTTCATGTAAAGCTTATTCTATTCATATGCATCCAGCTAAAATGTCATAGATATATATAGGGTGCATCCAGAAAGTATTCACAGCGCTTAACATTTGCCACATTTTGTTATGTTACAGCCTTATTCCAAAATGGATTACATTCATTTTTTTCCTCAGCATTCTACAAGCAATACCCCATAATGACAATGTGAAAGAACTTTATTTTGAAATCTTTGCAATTTATTAAAAATAAAAACCGGAAAAAAAACACATGTACATAAGCCTTGCTCAATACTTTGTTGAAGCACCAATTACAGCCTCAAGTCGTTTTGAGTATGATGCTGTAAGCTTGCCACACCTATTTTTGGGCAATTTCTCCCATTCTTCTTTGCAGTACCTCTCGAGCTCCATCAGGTTGGATGGGGAGCATCGGTGCACAGCCATTTTCAGTCTCTCCAGAGATGTTCAATCGGGTTCAAGTCTGGGCTCTGACTGGGCCACTCAAGAACATTCACAGAGTTGGCCCATATCCACTCCTTTGGTATGTGGGCTGTGTGCTTAGGGTCGTTGTCCTGTTGAAAGATAAACGTAGCCCCAGTCTATGGTCCAGAGCGCACTGGAACAGGTTTTCATCAAGGATGTCTCTGTACATTGCTGCATTTATCTTTCCTTTGATCCTGACTAGTCTCCCAGTTCCTGCCGCTGAAAAAATGCTGCCACCACCATGCTTCACTGTAGGGATGGTATTGGCCAGGTGGTGAGCTGTGCCTGGTTTCCTCCAGACATGACGCTTGGCATTCAAGCCAAAGAGTTCAATCTTTGTTTCAACAGACCAGAGAGTTTTGTTTCCCATGGTCTGAGAGTCCCTCAGGTGCCTTTTGGCAAAATCCTGGTGGGCTGCCATTTGTTTTTACTGGCTTCCGTCTGGCCACTCTACCATATAGGCCTGATTAGTGGAGTGCTGTAGAGATGGTTGTTCTTCTGGAAGGTTCTCCTCTCTCCACAGAGAAACTCTAGAGCTCTTTCAGAGTGACAATCAGGTGCTTGGTTACCTCCCTGGCTAAGGCCCTTCTCCCTTGGTCACTCATTTTGGCTGGGCAGCCCGCTTTTAGGCAGATTCCTGGTGTATCCAAACTTCTTTCATTTAGGGATGATGGAGGCCACTGTGCTCATTGGGACCTTCAATTCTGCAGAAATGTTTCTGTACCGTTCCCAAGATCTGTGCCTTGATACAATCCTGTCTTAGAGGTCTATGGACAATTCCTTGGCCTTCATGGCTTGGTTTGTGTTCTGACATGCACTGTTACCTGTGGGACCTTATATAGACAGGTTTATGCCTTTCCTGAATCATGTCCAATCAACTGAATTTCCCACAGGTGGACTCCAATCACGTTGTGGAAACATCTCAAGGATGATCAGTGGGAGCAAGATGCACCAGAGCTCAATTTTGAGTGTCATGGCAAAGGCTGTGAATACTTATGTACATGTGTTGTTTTCGTTTTTTATTTTTAATAAATTGCAAAGATTTCAAAATGAACTTCTTTCACGTTGTCATTATGGGGTATTGTTTGTAAAATGTTGAGGAAAAAAATTAATTTAATCCATTTTGGAAGAAGGCTGTAACATAACAAAATGTGGCAAAAGTTAAGATCTGTGAATACTTTCCGGATGCACTGTGCAGCATATGTTTATGTATGTAAACAAAATGTAAGTTAAATTTAGTTTGTAAAAAAGTCAGGAAAAGGTTTATTGATTACTTCTGTATAAAGTGGTATGATTTCTTTGTCAAAGTTTTATGCCTGTCTTGTCCACTGCAATTTAGGTGGTGATCAGACGACGTCCAATCCTGTATGTGGTGAATCTACTCATCCCTAGTGCCTTTCTGATGTTGATTGACATCTTGAGCTTCTTCCTTCCACCGCACAGCACTGACAGAGCCTCCTTTAAGATGACCTTGCTCTTGGGATACACTGTGTTCCTGCTCATAATGAATGACTTGTTGCCGAGTACAGCCAATGGTACTCCACTGATTGGTAAGATTTCTCTTACAACGGAGGATTGTTCTGGGGCTGCACAGCACATTGTAATGGTTATGCTTTCATGTGGGTTGCTCAAACATACACACACTGACTACCCACAGATTTCACACAGTTCATGATTTCTCAGTTAGCTACATCATTGACCGTCCTTCTCACATTTAAACACCAAATAATCATGCAAGTGTTAAATGTCAGTGGAGGTGCAGGAGGAGATGGAAATTCAATTGAAAGAATAATTTGCTTGTGTATTGGGTAATGTTTATTTACCCTGTTTACAGTATAGTTTTTATTTATTTAGGTTCAGTTAGGGATGAGCTTAAGGCCAGGTGCACATATGTGAGGCCATGCAGGTCACAATTTGTGCGGACTCGAGAGCCCATTTATTTGAATGGACTCTCGTGCTCTGGGACATGCAGGGAAGAAATCCCTGTACTTCTTTGGAAATCGCAGCCCGCACGGGAACAAAGTTCCCAGTACAGTTGTGATTTCCAGTGCGGGCGGTGTGCCATTAGAATTAATGGCACCTACCCACGGGTCCAGCATTCCACTGTGTGGGTGGTGCGGCTGTGGGTATTTGTGTGGGTCTTGTAGTGGCACCACCCGCACAGATGTGAACCAAGCCTAAGGGCAAGTTCACATCATAGAAACGCAGCTCAGATGGCGTGTTTTTTATGCGTTTTTGACACGTTCTGGTGCGTTTTTGATGCTTTCCAGTAAATTTTGTCCCCTTTCTTTTTATTCAATTTACATAGGGACATGTGTGTTCCAGTGCATTTTTGGTGCATTCTGGTGCATTTTTGACACGTTCCAGTACAGTTCTGTGTAGGAAAAATGCAGCATGTTCTACTTTTTTTCTGCAGCTGGAATGCACTGGAATTGCAAGCACTGATGTGAACTATGACATTGACAACCATATAACCTATAAAAAATATATATGTGAAGTTATAATCATCAAATAGTGGTATCATATAATATATCATAAAATATGTCCCCAATAATGAAAACAGCCAGTGACAGTTTTTATATAGTGATAAACAGCTTCCAGTCCAGTGGTGGTGCTCCCTGTGTTAAGGTAAAAATTGTGTACTAACCAGAAGCGTAATAAGATTACGCGGTGTGTAAATATCATGCAGGTCCACTTCACTGGTGTAGGTCCGGACTGGAACTCAAGATGGGTTCTCCTTCAGGTTGGTATAGATAAATAGTCCTCATGTGTAGATAGATCCAGTGGGCCAGAGGTCCCCTTTAAGGGATGGGTGGGTGAAGATTCCTGAATTACAGGTGCTCCCCTCTCTATTATTTTCAGAGCCCTGCTGTGATCCAGTTACCCATCCATCAGACCCAGAGAGGGTAATTCAGGAATCTTCACCCACCCATCCCTTAAAGGGGACCTCTGGCCCACTGGATCTATCTACACCTACTGAGGGCTATTTATCTATACCAACCTGAAGGAGAACTCATCTTGAGTTCCAGTCTGGACCTACACCAGTGAAGTGGACCTGTATGAAATTTACACACCGTGTAATCTTATTACGCTTCTTGTTAGTGCACAATTTTTACCTTAACACAGGGAGCACCACCACTAGACTGGAAGCTGTTTATCACTATATAAAAACTGTCACTGGCTGTTTTCATTATTGGGGACATATTTTATGATATATCATATGATACCAATATTGAACTGGCCCTAAAGTGATTAAAAAAAACCAAACATGTTATACGTACATGCTCAGTTCAATAGTTTTGCACAGAGCAGCATCGATCCTCCTCTTCTGGGATCATCTTCCGGCACTCCTGCCAAATGCCCCATAGTTACCCACTTGCTCAGGTGGCACTCGTACATGTTCTCTCCCTTGCTGGCTTTGTATGTCCGTAGACACACAGAGCGTGGTTTGGCCCTGCCACCCGCTCTCTCCTCCCAGCAGCAGCAGCCAATGGCTCCGGCTGGTGCCTCTCTATTCAGAGAGAGCAAGCCAAGAGAGCAGTTGCTCTCATGCAGATTGCTGAATTTAGATTTGAGGGGCTGGGGGCGAATGTTTTTTACCTTAATGCATGGCATGCATTAAGGTAAGAAATCTTGTACTTTTAGAACCACTTTAAGGTTCTTTCTGAACACAAGCTCTCTGAATGACGCCAGTGCCAAGCAAGTGACCTCCTGTGATCACTAATCATCGGGGTACCCGCTTGGCACAGGACCCAGAAGCTGCAGTAGAGGTGCCCTACTACAGTGATTTCCAGCTTCCAGGGGGATCCTAAAGTTAGCACACATGCATACTTACATCGATACGACCTATTATCATTTATTATGATTGGTTGCATCACTAATGAACATTGTGCAGTTGGATGGTTTAAAACGATGAGACAATTCTATCAATGTGTATAATATCAGATGATCATGTATAATCTGTGTATTTTACAGGTATATACTTCTCTGTTTGCCTGGCTTTGCTTGTGCTCAGTTTACTGGAGACAGTGATTATCACTCATGTGCTGCACCGTGGAACACTACTGAGTGGCTCAGTGCCTTGCTGGGTGAAACGCTTTGTCTTAGGTTTTCTAGCTCAACTGGTCTGTTACACTGATCCATCTGTCACTGATGAAAACCCTATAACTAATAATAACATACTTCATCCTACCAATGCAAATGATGCATCACGATCAGCACCACCCAGTCCTTGTCATGACAAAGGTATTGACACAGGTAATGTTTGTAAAAAGCAATTTTTGTACTAACCCAATACTAGACAGTTAAAAATAATTTTTCAGGAGTCATTTCAAATGTTGGGTAATTTTACTTAGTATGTATGTTATACGACTCTTTCCAAGCTATTGTTGTTTACTGTACCTTATTAAAGTGGAACTAAACCCTCTTATCATTTACATCCAAGGAAGCTGCCATCTTGCCTCTGTTTGATATCCTAGCGCTGCGCACATGATCACATTTGAAGGCTTGACTTTTGAGCGCACAAGCAACTGTGACAGTTATAATTTAAGGCATGCCCTGAACTTAACTGATTTGAAAAACCATTAAATTGATGGATTTAGTTTTGCTTTAATTACGTGCGTGCTCAGCCTGTCAGAATGGCTGTTACAATACACTTATATACACAAATCAGCGCACGACTGTCCTTCAGTTAGCACAAAGATCTTAATATAGTCTCACCAGATTCTTCCCATTAAGCATGCATTGTATATCATACAATCTCCTCTGTCTCTTCTTTATCATCTACTCCACTGTTCCAACTCTCCAAAAAACAAAATAAACTGATATAGAGTAATAAGTTCTGATAAACTTTATACACAAAACCAAAACGTGTTCAGACTATATACACCACTCCGTGAATGGCATCAACCACTCTCCATACTAATTACTCTTACTTTCACGGGGGGGGGGGGGGAATTTGTGCTTTATAATCTAGATATCACTCTTCATCAATAAATCTTAAACTCTTGATTGAAGTATACAGTGCACCATCCACCTCCAGTGTTCAAACCATTGAACGTGCTCTTCCCTTCCCCTTTAGACATGCACCTTACCCTGCATACATCGATATGTGCCTTTATGTCTTTATTAAAATCTTAATTTTCTCCTCTCCTTAACGGTTCTTCATATACTCCCACCAAATAAAGTAAAATATACAAGCCCACAGTGCAGAAGTATATGTAAAATTAAATATTTATTGTTGAAATTGCGTTAACATGGAAAAAGAATACAAACGTCTGATGTCACTTCCGACTGACGCGTTTTGTCATCAAACTGACTTCCTCATAGGCAGTCCTGCACACTAATGTGACTTTGGGCGCTTGTGGCAATTAGATTTGTTACAATACACTGTCAATACTCACATATAGGCCTGGTGGCTGACAATATATAACAATGCAAGGTTTCTCAACTCAAACCATTTGCAATAGCCCTACATAATGGTTCAAGCCAGACTGCTCTTTGCACTCCACAATCATAAGACAGCAGGTCCAATGTCTAAAATCACTCTTTATTTGTAACTTTAGTATACTGGTAACAGTACCAGCTAAAGCATTGCAGACTAATAGCTGGTGTAGGCATTATGTCACGTACCTGACTGTGGAGCCTGAGACAATGAAGGTGGCCTTTTGCATGATCCTCACCCAAGTTCCCCTGGTGGTGGATACAGGGACTGCTAGGGCAGCAGAAGGGTGCAGGTGCAAGAGGTTGGTTCTGCAAACTTGAACTTGGGAATGCTAAGGTTGGATGAGCAGAAGCGAGGATTCAGGTCACAAGCCATGTTTGGTAACAGCCAGGCAGGAAGGTAAAGAATCATGACCAGAATCCAGATCAGAGACAGGATCAGCAATATGCTGGCAGTGAGGTACAAAATCAGCAGGTGGAATCTTGGTCAAAAGTTCAGGCTGGGATTGGTAACAAATCAGTAGCAGACATAACAGACAAGGGTAATCCGATTATAAGCGTAGCCTGGTCAGTAGCAAGATCAGCAGGTTTTCATGAGTACAGAACACAGGAAGCAGAGCTGAAGACAATCCAGCACTGAGGCTAGGCAGACCTCAGGTTTAAATAGGCTGCAGGGTGCCAGGATCTGTGAGTGCGCCCTTGTGGGTATTTGTACGTGACTTCACACCTTAACAGCATCACAATACAGTAACTTACATTCTCCACCTCTTCCTATACACAAATTATACAAAAATGGCAATACAGGCGCACCTCGGTTTACGAACGCCTCAGTTAACGTAATTTTTGGTTTATGAATGAAAATCCATTGAAAATAATGGTTCGGTTTACAAATTTTTTTTGCAATACAAACGGATTAATTGGTTTTCAGTGCATTTACGGTTTTTTTTAATCATGTCTCTTTATGCCTTTAAAGTGCACTTTATAAAGAGTTTTTAAACAGATAAAACTTTTTGTTACTTTTTTCTGACCTCCGGGGCGGATTAAGTGGTTTTCAATGCGTTTACGACTTACCGTATTTTTCGCACCATAAGACGCACTTTTTTCCCCCCCAAAAAGGGGGGAAAATGTCAGTGCGTCTTATGGAGCGAATATGGAGCGGCCGGTCCGGTATTTCCACTGCCGCCGTGTCAGAATACCGGGCCGGCCGCTCAGCTCTACAGCGGGACCTTATAGAGATGACTGCTGACCTTTGGGGAGGGGGGGAGCGGGTACCTGAATTTGACAGATACCCGCTCCCACTTCCGTGGAGTTGTTCTTTCATCTTACCCGTTCCTCTATCCAGCGGCGCGGTCTTCCCGGCTTCTGTAGTGTGGGCATGACAGCCGGGTGCCAAGTGCGCATGCGCAGGAAGCGGTGCTTTTTGTGAATGGTAAGGCGGCACCTGGGACACATGACAGATCCCAGAAGCCGCCAGACCAATCACAAAGCGCAAGTGCTTCTCGCTCATGCGCACTGGGCACCCAGCTGTCATGCCGAGCGCCATTACAGAAGCCGGGAAGACAGCGCGCGGCTGGATAGAGGAACAGGTAAGATGAAAGAACAACTCCGCGGAGGTGGGAGCGGGTATCTGTCAAATTCAGGTACCCACTCCCCCTCCCTCCCCAAAGGTCAGCAGTCATCCCCTATACTATCCGCAGTCTCTGGTCATCCCTGTGCTGTCCGCAGTCTCTGGTCATCCCCTGTACTGTGTCCGCAGTCTCTGGTCATCCCTGTGCTGTGTCCGCAGTCTCTGGTCATCCCCTGTATTGTGTCCGCAGTCTCTGGTCATCCCTGTGCTGTGTCCGCAGTCTCTGGCCATCTCCTGTACTATGTCCGCAGTCTCTGGTCATCCCTGTACTGTGTCTGCAGTCTCTGGTCATCCCCTGCACTGTGTCCGCAGTCTCTGGTCATCTCCTGCACTGTGTCCGCAGTCTCTGGTCATCTCCTGTACTGTGTCCGCAGTCTCTGGTCATCTCCTGTACTGTGGCCGCAGTCTCTGGTCATCCCCTGAACTGTGTCCGCAGTCTCTGGTCATCTCCTGTACTATGTCTGCAGTCCATTAGTTCAGAATTTTTTTTTCCTGTTTTCTGCCTCTAAAACCTAGGTGCGTCTTATGGTCAGGTGCGTCTTATGGAGCGAAAAATACGGTAATTTTTAATCATGTCCCTCTACAGTATGTATTCTTTTAAAGTGCACTTTATAAAGAGTTTTGAACAGATAAAATACTTTTTTCTGACCTCCGGAACGGATTAATTGGTTTTCAATGCATTCTTATGGGAAACCGCGTTTCGGTTTACAAATTTTTCGCAATATGAAAAGTCCTGCAGAACAAATTAAATTTGTAAACCAAGGTACGCCTGTATTGGTGCTTATCAGGTAGATGACAGTGTTTTCTTTTTTTTTAGAAAGCACAAAAAATAAATATGTCTGAGAATGCACCACATGAATATTTATACTTCAGCTCTTGTCCCTTGTATACCCCTTATGGACCAGAGTAAGATTTACATTTTCACTATATGCATGTTTTTGCAACGATAAGTACATAAGGTAGAAAAGCAATGCTTTATAGTTTAATTTTCTATGTATAGTAATCTATGACAAAAAGCAGTAAAATGATTAAAACATTGTAATTTTTTTTCTATTTTGACCAATGTTAGGTTAAAAAAAAATAGTTTTTCTTATTGAAAGTGACACTAAAAGTGTGTTTCTGGTACAAAGCATGGTCAACATACAGTATTTGAACATAAGAAAAGTTTTTGTGCTTTTTCCTTTTATGTGACACTGAAAGAAATAGCAAATAAATATAAAATGAATGAAAGCAAAAAATGTTAACACTAACAAAAAAAACCCTCTAAAAATCAGAAGAGAAGGAGAGAAATTAGTGTGAGAAAACTCTCTTTATAGATGTGTACCTACAGGTAGACCTATAATAAGCAGGTTCCTTGCCAGCCCATAAACATACAATACAACTGATTGCCCCCTAGCGCTGCGCTTGCTTATTTCATTCTGAGTTCTACTGTATGGGGGAATAAAAGAGGCTGATAATAAGTCAAATATATGTGCATACACTAGTTGAATTCAAAGAGAATTTTTTATGTATACTGTACATAATTGCATTAATGGTGCTACATTATATGTGAAATATAGCTTTGAGGTGTGGGGTTACTAAGAAAAACAAACATACATAATGACCATGCTGCATTATTGGTGTGACATTGCAGGTGTCCCATGCTGGCTCTAAGGCCTCATGCACACTGGACATTTTTTTAACTCTCCTAGAAGCCTTTCACCTAGCAGCAGCGTTTTGGAAATAAAAAAAAAGCCAGATGCTTGTAGAAGTGTGTTAGTCATTTACCCACGTCAAGCTTTTGATCATTAATTCATTTAATTGGCTGGAATAAATCATTTTATCTGGTCATTGAAATGAATTGACACTAAAGCAGTAAATTCATGTTTACACGTGTTGACACGCGCCAAACATTTTTTCTGCCAAAACTGCTGATCCTAGATGCACGGCAGTGTTTTTTTTTTCCTGCCTCTAAACTCTCATGCCAGTAAATGTTTCTAAACGTTTATGTGTGTATTTGCCAAAATGCAGGGCAATTTATAGGCATGAGAAAAAAACATGTCTGACGCCCCTAGGAGCATCTGTAAATATGTCCAGTGTGCATCAGGCTTAAGATTGAGAACTGAGCAATCATATACCCAATCAGCTCTGGGTCTGCATACAGCCGAGAACATTGACTGTCAGTCACTGCTCTCTGCGCTTCCAGCGCTCACTGGTGCACAAGGCTGGGGAAGGTTGTGG